TATTTTTCAACGTATTCGCTTTGTGCAAAATTAATACAGAAATTGAGTGAACCGTTTGGGGCATGTGAAATTTAATAGAAAATTGTGTGATCCGTCGTTCGAGTTAAACAATGCGCCAGTAGGGATCCCATCATTCGGACTCTCGGGAGTTTCCGATACTTCTCGATTCGCGCGGGTCTCACGTTTTCATTTCCAGGCGGACGCAGATCTCTCTCGATAAAAGTGCATACCGCCACTACAAAGTAGCCCAGCAGCGTGGTTAATCGCCGGTGATATCGATGGCATTGCCTGCACACGCCCGTGTTCCCATTGTACGCGCTCGAACGTTGCGATAATCCCTTGCGGAATTCATTCTGCATTGGCGGAGAGAAGGATCGACGATGAAGCTCAAATCAAAAAGAAATCTACTCGAGATTGAGATACTTATTTTCTCACAACAACATTTTAATTTCTATATTTGACGATTGCGATCAACTTTTTGCATTTCGTGACAAATCTTCTCACGCCGTCGTTCTTCCCGACCGAAGCTCCGCGATCTTACAACATTATTAAAGCGCAAGCCGATCCGATGGATGACCCGGAAAGAGAAAGAGACTTTTTTTCGATTCTACTTTCTCCGCATGGCGAGCGTCGCTGCGTTGTTTAATTTGAAACAGCGTCACAACCGGTGCACATGGGCGCCGCAGTCTGGATCCGCGCACCCGTTTTTCATAACGTCCTTAACGTATAAACCGTGGTAAACCTGAAGAGAATATCGAAAATAGAGAAAAATATTCAGGTGTGGCCAATGGAAAATTAATAGTATATATTTTTTTATAAATTCTAACAGATAGAAATTAAATATTTCATAAAGATTCTATCCCCCCCCTCTTTTTTTTTATATATATATAAAACCTCGTCTTAATATTTGTATGCATAGAATGATTTGAAGAATAAACAGGAAAAAATAAGAATTAATGATACAAATAAGAAGAATATATGAGAATGAATGAGCGGAAATTCTCGAATAATACTCGGATCTGAGATGGGCAGAATTGACACTACGATAACGCGCCGCAACAAAGACGGACTCGCCATAACCCAATTGCGATGGATCTCCCGTCGTAACGGGGTCGCCGTGGCTCAATAGCACGTAGCGTTTAATCGATCGCTCACGCGAAAAATACGATTAGCATAAATAAAAGAGACACTCGATCCGGTATCGATACCCGTATCAATGTGCGGTCTCGTGGCGCGTTTGCCGATCTCATTTATCGATCGTCAATCACCTGGCGGGGAAAAAAGGGAGGAAAAGGAAGGGAACGGTAGGGAAAGAGAAACAAGCGCGAGTTGGTAGTGACTATAAAATAATAATGGGATAAACGCCTACGCGCGCGCATAGGTCCCTAATAACGCGAGGAAGTGGCTGTTCTCGGCCTGCTTCTTTTGGGTACGCCCACCGCGCGCATATTCGTCGTCTTAGAGACGAGCACACCGGCGGCGACCAGAGGAACCAGAGGAGGGACGACGAGAAGGCACGCGCGTGCGACGTATAATTAAAACCGCCTCTGCGAGGAATGCGTACGACCGAGAGAGAGAGAGAGAGAGGCGGCACGAGCGAAAAATTGGCCACGGTGTCCGGGTAATATCCGTGCCGGCTGAGATTATCGATAATCGAACGTCCATCACTATTCAGAGGATAGGGGAAAGAGCCCGCGGACACGGATTTTTTGTGCTATCATTCTCCATTCGAAAGATAGCGCATTCAGACTTTTCACACAGAAAATATTGTAGTAAAATTAGCACAATATTTTCTCCGTGTATTTTTCATTCTGAATTGTATGAATATTTTCATTCTTATTGAAGAGTGAATCTGATGTTCTCCACCGTCGCAGGAACGAATTCACTTTGATCGATTGAAACGTTCATTCATATGGAATCCGCGAGTTTGAATTTAGCTGAATTTTCGCAGTTTCGAGTGAGATTTTATCTCAAATGATTAAAAGAAAGAAATATTTAGCTTACCACAGAGAATGTGTGTTGCTGATTATAAAATTTCACAATGTACTTATACCAGACGCTTCTCTCTCCTCAGCGTAAGATGAATCGGGTGGGCAAATTTTGATCCTCGTTCTTATTACACGACCCTTTTGCCGAGAATTCCAAATTTCGCAGACAAGCCATCGTGAAGAATTGTGGCACGCCCTGATCGCGCACGGCAGCTCGTTTAATTAATAATTTCACAGTCGATTAATTCGCCTAACGTTTAATCATTATTTCACGCGACTTTACAACCAGACGGTGGTGCTAGACGTCGGATTTCCGGCTTAACGCGCGCGATCTCGTTTAATCGTTTCACTAATTATTTCCTTGTTATGCTCGTCGTTATCATCGATGATGATGGCGGCAATGAATAAACGACGATCCAACGTACGCATACATAATTTATAGCCGAAATGCTTCCTCTTACTCTCTCTTCCCCGAACGGGTCACCCTGTGTCGTCGGTATAATGCGATGCATAAATGCATGGAGGCACGCACTGCATGCACGCTTAACATAGATACGTATCTGACAATAAGAAACGCATCGACACACCGACGCATCGTGACGCCAGCAACGACGTGACGATGCACGTATATCGGCTTCTACGCGCGCATCCCCCTTTTCATCTCACGCGTTCTCCCGACCGAATGATATCCAACGAGAGAGAGAGAGATCTCGCTTGTTGTGCGTGAATAATACGACAATTCATTTTTCGTTGAAAGTCCAGTATCGTTAACCCTTTGAGTACTGAATTATTTGAAGATTATTATGCCCATGGGACGGATTNTTATTTTATTTAGATTAACTCTTTCGGTACATTTGACGAGTGAGACTCGTCATCTGCTTACTTGGGCATAAAATGTATTACTTTTACACATTAATCCATATAGCGACAAATTAAATCCGTCCCATGGGCATAAAAATCTTCAAATAATTCAGTACTCAAAGGGTTAATATGTAAAAGTAATACATTTTATGCCCAAGTAAGCAGATGACGAGTCTCACTCGTCAAATGTACCGAAAGGGTTAATTAACGATGAAGGATGGAGAAAAATATTAATTAATATTAATCTTTATATGAATATTAAGAAGATTGATGACGTGTTAAAAATAAAGTCAAGCTTTCTTGATGAGGCAACGAAAGAAGTGATTCGCCAAGAATCGACGAGCGTCGCGGTACCCATTGGTCCATTTTTCATTCGAAATCTAAGAACCTTGATATGATCAGGTTCATTGAAGAAATAATTTAACTCTGGAACGGATACTGGGTTTGTAACTGTTTCTCCCGCGTGCGCCGAGACTTCTCCGAAATGGAGATCCGATCTCTTCTTTCGGAATTGCCTCATTCAACGTGCCTTATCGCCTGGTTTATGGCTTTACGAAGACGGTCTTACTAATCCCTCGGATAAGAGGAGGCCGTCGACCTGTCTCAGCGACCAAGCCGTTTTATCCTCCGACAAATTTGTAATTTTCCCGACTTTTCACGCACGTCGAAATAATGATCGCTAATATTGCTTGAATCAAGCTTGAAGCTTGATTTAGGATACCGATCCCCTTAATTAATAGTAAAGTTCCGGTGAAAAGTGTTCTCGCTCGTCGAGAAACAAAGAGCGCTTCCTTCCCAGTCACCGTCTCCGTTCTTTTGAAATCCGCCCAGAGATCGGCGTACAATTTATCGCGATAATTGTTGCCCGGCTGTGTTAAAGCCGAGCCCCGCTTTCCTGCGTAAGACGTAGCAATTAAACCGGAACAAATTGGTTGTTAGGAATTGAGCTCTCTCGCGCGGCAGGCCAGTTTTATTGTGATTACACGGTGCCTCCGATAGATACGTATTCGTAGCTCGGAGGCAAGCTGATTGACTCTCGTCGATAATTTCTATCCGCCTGCGTGGAAGACCTTGCCGTTAAAGGGCCTTGAGAGAGCTCGCGTCCATCACTCTCTTTTGCGTACATACGGACAAAACCACGAGCTCATCCTCCGAACGAGCGAGCGCGCGGCGCTTCTTGCTCCAAAACCGTGTAATACAATTTCATGAAGCGCGCACGTTTATTATGGCGAAATTAATTACTACGTGCCAGATACATCGCGCTATTCTTTCGGACCGGTTTATTTCCATTTTATCGCAGCATCCGCGTGTCGAGAGCCCTCTTTGTCCGATTGTAAGACGATTTGCCATTCAAGTTACCGCCCGGACGAGCATTTTTGCGGGAAACACGCGTGAAATTCGCGCCACCGGCTCTACCGTGACGTTTCGTGGAGGACGATCGATCCTTTAAATGTCACGAGGTAATGGACACTCTCGACGAGGAGGTTGTCGGAAGATTCGGGGAGGAATTATCCGAACAAATCGCTTGAGAATCAAGTCTTAGCGCAAATTTTCGATATTCAATGAAAACAATCCGGTCTAGGAAGTTTAATCATCTTTGTAACAAGTTACTTTTTTGTTAAAACAACAATAAAATCGGCGGCAAAATGATTGGCAAAGTGGATTTTTCAAATATATCCAGTAAGATGGGGCCTCATGCTCTGTTTCGTGTAATACGAAAAAGAAGTAAATAATAACATGAAATTCTTCCTTACAGGTGAAATAGATAAAGTCTGCTAACTAACTTGCTAAATAATTGCAGTAAAACAAAGACGTTTTGCTTCTAGGTAATGGAAGAATAAATGATGAAAGTAAAAAACTTGTTCTGCGTTGAAATCGTCAATTTGATCATCGTTGTTAAGTAAAATATGTGTCATCGACACTTTCGTCTGATTATAAATAGTGATGTTTTGTTTCTCTCAGCTCCGAAATTGTTTAACTCGAATTTTTACAACGCACTTTCTCACGCGCACTAAAGCGACGGATCGAAAATCCGGCATATCGCGAGTCATACATTATACATGACCTCCCTTCTTTCTTCCTCCCCTCGCGTATGTTGGTCATTGTATTTTAAGAGCCAATTCTACCGCGCTTTTTTTTACTTCCTTCCAGATCCGCGGGGCGCTCGAGAATTGGGACGGCGGTGCCTTCAAACCGAGTGAGTATACACACACGGGGGGCTTCTTAGCGACCTTAACGAGTTTATTATGCCCGCGAGCCTGCTCTCTCCTTTTTCCCCTGCGCATCTTAGGAAACTGGTAAAGTGAGCTTATCAAGGCCTTCCTTTTCGATAATCGAACGTGACAGACGGCGATCGATAGTTAGGCTATCTGGAAGAATTCATTAATTAAGCGGCTTCCCTCCGAGTACTGCCCGCGATCGCCATGCATTCGAGAGAGTACTCTTCATCTCTCGCTCGCCTATTACCGTGAAATGACTATCACCGGCCATTTCGAATTTACATTAATAAGATCTTTTACGCCGGCGGCGGCGTCGATCGTAAGTCGGGGCGCGTTCGCGGCGGAATTTATTCGCGGCGGCGTTATCTCGAAACACGATACCGCGCGCATTTTTTTCGCACTCGCCCGCTCGTGACTCACGCCTTTTTTTCGCGCGACCGCCTGAGGATATAATTGCACGATGTCAATTCGTAGCGAGAAAGACTACCGTAAATTCGAGCGTGGCTCGCGTTGAATCCGCGAATTACACGGTGCTGGCCGTATTTCACGGCGCAGGGACGGAAAAGTGCGGATCGCGTGCGGAAAGGGAGCGAAACCTTTCTTCCTTTTCGTCGACGAGGAGAGGAAGAAACGCGTTAATAATCTCGGCCCGATGTTAATTTCTCCCTTTAATTTAATGTTCCGTTTCCCTCGTCTCAACACGTGTGACGTCGCTCTACTGTTTCTAACACGTGCTTCATTTTTGCCGTCGCTTGCACCGTTAATTACTTATCCGCCGGGGGGGTTTTTCCGGCGCAAGACAGATTTTAATTACGACCGACGCCGCCGACAGGTGACTTATTCCCCGGCACGTTTTGGAGCTCGTACTGGGAATACCTGGAGAGGTACAGCGAGGCGAGGAGGACTCTGGACGAGCTGAGAGCGACCGAGGACCCCCTACTGCATTTTCTCCGAGTCAGGCAGGCGGCAGCGAGGCACTCGCCTTCGTCTCTGCTTCTCCTACCGGTGAGTCTTTAATAACGATATTAAATTATAATATTAACAAATTTTATTCTCATGATTATTTGCATTGATAATTAATGAGGCCTCCATTTACATTTTGTGTAGTAACATAGTTAACAATCAATTAAATTGAAAATGATCGTCGAAGTGTTATGCAGGAATGTTTAACGTAGCGTCAGAAGATCAATACAACAAAATTTCTACAAAAAAACTAATAAACTTATAGAAAGTAGCTGTTTCGGCATAAAAAAAAGTATTATTTTAGTGCAGTTTATTAAAATGTCATACTTCGAAATGTGTAAAATGTTAAATAACGATCTTATTAGTTTATTCGTGTGGTAATGAAATGCTATTTGAAAGTGTGTTGTAACAAATGCCGGGCTAATTGGCGGGCTACTACGAAAACTAAATAAATAGCGATACAACATAAGCGATCGCTAGAATTCGTTACCTAATAGCGGAGATACTACCTTCTCCTCTATAATTTAATTGGCTAAATTAAATCAATATGTAATAATTAATAATGATTATATTTGCACGAATTAATAAAAATAGTGACGAGGGCATCGTGTGCAAATATTTCGGGGGAATTGCCGGATTTCTTTTTCATTCACTGTGTACTTATACGGTAAGAGAGTGGTCCGCGAGAGAGATCCGATCGCACGCGTCGTAAATCACGTAACCGTTGCCGAGTTAATCGATGTTAGGCGCGCTGTAACGCACGATTACGTTTGCTTAATAAAGACTCGGCCTTGCAAATGATAATTACACGCGTCCCGCTTGCGATCTCTCGGCGCGTAACCGAGGTATGCAGCAAAGTTATGCGCCGGAAAAGAGATGCCCGGGAATAGTGAAATGAATCCCGCGGTGGAATTCTTCCCTCTCCCTTTCTCCCACAGTCTCTCTCCCGAGATACATCCTCTAATTAATCGTGCCGTCATTAAGTCTAATTACGTTAATTCGTTCCGCGATTTCTTCAAACGAATACTCGCCGCCGCCTTGAAGACTATTTAAATTACGAATTTTACGGCCGAAGCGCTCGATCGGAAATCGACCTCTCGTAAAAGCTTTGCGAAACACGCGTTTCTCACTCTCCGTCGCTCCTGGGCGCGATTGTGGTGCGCTTCCCCAGTGAAAGTCTTATCTCGCGTCGCAACGGGACAGAGAGAGAACGTCGGTTTAACCTTTCGAGATTCTCGCGTGTATGCATGACGCGAGCCTTCCGTCATTTGAAGAAGACGTGATGAATGTAGAAGCGGACGAGAAATTAGCCGGGGGAAATTTCAGACCGGCTGATGATTATTCGGGGAGATATTTTAAGGGGCTGCCTCGAATAAGTAGCCCAATGTTTGAATTTTTCTGCTGGCCGCATAGATGTCTTTCTGAGGGATTTCGGGGAGGATTTGAAATTTAGTAAAGCCATTTCGGTGGCTAATTCCTTTAAACGTTTTTTCCTCGAGATGCCTCCGACCAATTACAAGCGCGTTTCGAGTTAATTCCACCGATAGGCGGCCGAATGAAAAAAAATCCGAGGCGCATCGGTGAGAAGCGTGTGTGTGAGATGAGCTATGTGACAGCTTATAACGGGTTGCATTGAACGGTTTCCCCTCGCGCGATGAAATCAACACCCGTTGAAATATCGATTCGGGCCTACTCTTCGAGAGTGGTGCGCGCCGATAAGTGTCGGCGGTTTCGTTGCTGAACACACAGTTATCTAAATTTGAAATCCCGATGCGAAGGGATTACCTCCCTGACGCAATTATTGATAATAGAATATAGCGGCGCAATTACTCCGGACGCGGCAATAGAATGGAATGGATTTCTTCACGTGTTTTCCAGCTCTTCCCCCCCATTTGTAATTCAAAGACGTGGGAGTGCGGTTTACTGGAACGTTACTTTATCAGATTCCGTCGGGAATGTTAACTATGAAATTTCACCTGACCATTTCTGCACCTGTGACTGTGGTAGGCTGCCTACGTGATGCCTTGTTGCACGTGGGTGTCCACGCAACGGTCCGCCCGTTTGTGGCAGGTATATGCCGCGTTGATATATTATTTACTTATCGTCGCTCGCTCGCTCGCTCGAGACAGACAGAGAGAGGCCGCGCGTATGAAATTGCGGTTACGTCGTTACGAAACGTTGATCTTGATCTCGCGCACCTACGCGCGCGTACAACCATGTGTGGCGGCTTATTACAGCATTTACAGCTATCTCCTATAACACATAAATCATATCCGAGTGTCTGGAATACTTTTACGAGCTAGGAAAAATGAAAAACGTCTATTTTTCTCATCGTGACCTATTAACGCCCACGCGACCATCTTACGCGATAATTTCTCGTCGCCAGATGTTTGCCAGGGAAACACGAGTCGCTTTGTTAAAGAAAAGCGAACAGAAGTGTCGGAAAAGCACGAAATAGAAGCGATATATTTCAAGGTGTGTCAAAATATACGTTTCTAACGGACGTTTCATACAAGTAGTACATCTCGTCAACACCGTTTCACCGTTGACAAAATTTTGCAGAATCGCTTTATGCGACAAGTTGGCGTAAACCTGAGATTTAGTTTTTTCTTTTTTAAATTTCTTTTCGATATAATTTTTACTCGGTTCGCACTTGTGCGTGGCGGAACCATTCATTGTTTCTCCCTCGTCGCAGAACGACGACGAGTGATTTACGAGGCGTCCCACCGCGGTAATATATGCCTCGCCGAAGGATGGTGACTCAAAGACGCGTGGAGTACTCGAGCGTGTCGAAATTGATTTTCCAATTTTCGTCCCGTTGTTTTCCGGATTTTCCCGGCATTTCGCGATCGTTCAACCGCTCCTTATCGGCCTGTTATCGACTCAAGAGCGAGGGGCGACGATAATCGTTTCCGTAATATACAAACGTGTTCGCGGGAAGTAAGCGCTCTCGACCGATGTAATAACTGTTATTAAAAGGATCGTTCTAATATCGGGCGGTCTCTCACGTATCGATATCCGCGCGCTTCTTCCGGGTGTTTCACCTGCGCGCTACTGTTCTGCCCGATCACAGTGCTCGCGATATTTCATTGTTTTTCTTTTAAGCCGAGTCCAGAAAATAAAGCTCATGTCGCAATCATATTTTTCATTTGAAAACCTAAACACGAATTGGCCGTCTTATGTGTGAGTTCGTAAAAATTCGTTGAGGTGCAAAACGGTGATCGTGTTCAAGATTAGTCAAGTATGGTGGGAGTTATTATGAATATACTATTATTGTGTAATATGAAGTCGGAATAATTTGATTCGCGTGCCACTCGACTGAAATTACACGTCGGAATGCTTTTTCATAAAATCTCTTAATATCTCATTATTTTTCAAAATATTATTATTTTCTCAAGCCATATTGCTCCGTCGTGTCGAATATTTTGTCGTCGTATTATGATATATTCGTGATGTTGAGGAACAACCTTTCAAGAGAGAGAGAGAGAGAGTCGTTTTGTTACACAAACGGTGTCTGTTCGCCGCAATTAATGACGCTTATTTCATCTGTGACGATCTTATCGTATCCTTTTGTGCTCCTCGATTTTATGATCTAATTTATTTCACGCGCGCGCTCAGTATGAAATTCCCGCGGACTTGTCCGAAATTTTAAGCCGACGGGAGAGAATTTAAATGAACGTCGCGGGGTCACGGTGTAAGCCGCGGTTAACCGTAAACTATGCGGGCCCGGTAACGGTTTCCTCGGTTCGCGCAATATATATTCGCGTGTGGATTCTGCGTACGTCACGGGGATGATGAATGACCTCGCGTCGTCATCGATGATCATCGCGCGCTGACAGGACAATCGAACTTTCCTCGCTGTTTAAGATAGTTGTCTCGCGACAGTATTATCGAAAAGTCTAGTATGATGTAAAGTTTAATATTCCACGAATAAATAGTGTACACGACGTTTTCGATTAATATCGCTACTCTGGGGAATTACAGCGAATACCGCTGCATCAGCCGTACATAAAATACGCAAAAGGATCTTCTTGCGCCGTCTGATTATCGTTGACGTCACGTTTTTGCCAGCACGCCCGACTGAAAATAATTAAGTGAGAAAATAAGGGCTCGATATCTATTCCGTCGACGATAAGACGCCGGTATGATCGTCCTATCAATTAATTCCGCGAGGATAATTGGCGAGGAGCGTGTACACAAAGTCATTTATTTGATGGCAACATTCTTCCCCCTTTCTCTCTCACCGAGTTGGATTTGACATGCGATAAGTCCCCCGCGGTATAATAGACGTTATAGTATGCCTCTGTGCACGTCGGTAGAGAGAAAGAAGGGCGCGCGTGATAGTGTCAACAGTGAAAACCGGCCGCTGCGAAGAATCTGGTTTGCCGCCGCGGTTACGCGGCAACAGCGCGAATAAATACGCATTTACAACTAATTAAAACGCGCTCGGGAAGAGCGCAAAATAAACGCGGCAATTTATAACGTCTTGTGGGAAAATCTTGATTCAAATCCCGGGCGTAAAATGTGTATCGCGAATTAAGAGCAACACATGAGTGGAAATTACACGCGTCTTTTGCGTCTCATTTGCGCGCGAGTCGGAGCGAAGGTGAGAAAAATTCGATCTCGCCTGCGAAGTCCTGCACTGACGGTGAATATTTTTTCAACGCTTATTATATTTATGTCGACGTAATATACGTTTTTATTTCATCCTCGAACGTGATTTCTACATTCGTAAGTTTCACACGCACAGCAGTTGACTGTCCAGCCTCTAACTTTTACCTACTTGATCAAGTTGTATATATTTTTATTTTACAGCCACTTAAGTGACTGTAAAGTTGGTGAATTTCAATCGGAGAAAGATATGTAAACAATCAGTAAGAGGAAATACATATGCACCTTTTTTTCTAATACTTTTGACATTTTATTTTGTTATAATTTTAGTCACAGCTCTATCTTCAGTAATGAGCACGCATAAAAATAGCCACGCTCTGAAAACTGCCAATTTCTGCACAATAAACTAAATGGAAAGTAAAATATTTTCT